GAACTGATACTCATATAGGTAAAACAAACAAAATAGCTCAAACCGTTGGGGTTTGAGCTACAACAAGCGCAAAGTTTTTTTTCCAATCTTCACATTTCATGTAGGTAAAATTAAAACTAATGTAATTTTTTTATTACTTCAATATTGGTAAAATTAATATTAATAATTAAAATAATATAATCGTAAGTAAGTAATAATTGGAGTCGAACAAATTACAACAATTACGATAATATTTAAATGCAGTTGAATTTGAAATGTCATTGCCACATCCTAGGTATTGATTCTACTGCTACAACTGCATTAATTTTCCAATTTTCCAACTGCATACGCCACCTGTATGGGAAAACTTAAAGCAACATTGTTTCTGTCAGAACACTTCAAGCTTTAACAATTTCATTTGTTATCACGTTACTACAAAGTTAGGTCACTTCTTAGGAAAAAATTAATTTTTCTGTATTTTGGCAAATCTGCAGTTCTTCTTTAATCACTATATAGGGTTTGTTTGAGCTTTCACTCAAACAATTTTTTTCCATTTTCCGGCTATAGGCGCCATCTGTACAATTCACTTAAAAGCAGTCTTCTACTCCGATTGAAAACTGAACAGGATCGGACTCGAATGCATTTTCAGTTTACATAATTTGCACAACTACTTTCTAAATGCCTACATTTTATCAATAAATAAAAATTTTTTGACAGTCTCGAAAATACGAAACGAAAATTTCAGTCGTAGGCTTAACTTTTCTACTTCTTTTTAAAGCTAAACCTTTAGGGAACAAATGAAAATACAAAATAATGAAATAGAGACCGAAATTAGAAAACTAAAGTTTAAAGTAAACTTTTGCTACTTTTATAAAAGTCACAGCTAAAATATAGTGGCATAATCGGCGTAAGTTAATTCTTTTATGTAAGCAGATAGTTTTAGATAAGGGACTGATATATATTTTTGGTGAAATAAACAATAAAAATGAATAAAAGAACGCTTTTTGGTAGTTTTACAAAGTTTTAATAGAAATAGTCCTACAATATTATTTCGAATTTGATAATGGCTTACTAAGTCGAAATAATATGGTGTGTGGTGTTACAGGCGAATGATGAGGATACTGTGGATAGAGAAGGTTAGAAATGAGAAGGTATTAGAAAAAACAGGTGAACAAAAGACTACGGAAGTCAATGAAAAATAGGCGAGATAGGTTAGTAGGACACCTTCTCAGACATTAAGGTCTAGTCAGAGACATGTTAGAGGCAGAAACGGGAGATAATAGAGGTAGAGGTAGACCTAGATTAGATTACTGTTAGCAAATAGTTAAGGATATTGTGGGATGTTCTAGTTTTAGGAAAATGCGAACATTAGCTAAGGATAGGAGAGTGGAGGTGCGTGTCGAACCAGTCTTAGGACTGACGACCTTATGATGATTACTATTACGTACAATAACTGTATTTTTTTTACTATTCTTTATGTTTTACACTTTCCCGGCCGCAATCCCTCTGAGTATTATAAATAATAAAAAATATACTTACACTAATTTAAACAGCATAGTCCTTTTTGATACATATGTATCTGTATTGTTTTATCTCTGGTGGATTCCTCATATATTATTAATTATTTCTTTTAGTTAATTAATTTTCCAAATAAAATCAATTTAAGTAAAGGTATTTTAAAAAGTGTTTATTCAGTTGGAAATGCAGCAAGTACATTGAACAGTACATAATATAAGGGACGTATAGGACATGCAGTCCTGCTTTTACATGCAAAGTATTAATATTAATATCATTATTATTCTTAATATTATTAATGTATATAATGTCATAAGAACAGGTCAGTAATGATGAACAAATTATCCGCTGCATATTAAATAATGAATAAAAAGTAACAAAAATACTTATATGTAAATTCCACACTATTAATATAGCTACTGCTTAAATTGTTTGGGTATACATAGGTACGTCTATTTGTTTATATACATCCTAGTTGCCTATGAACTATCAGCAACTTAGCCTTACAGACTAAAAACCGAAACGGAATCTACACTTATCTGCTTTTTTTTTTCGGAAAATACCAAGTACTTACGACAATAATAATAAATATAAATATTATAAGCACACTGTGTATCGTGAGGTAATTTTAAGGAATGCTTTTTATGATTAGAGTAACACCTGCAGTAACAATCGCATTTCCAAAGACTGTTAAATTAAGTCAAACTGTCCCATTCAAAAACAATGAAGTTGATTCTTGACGTACTGATTTATCGAAAAAATTACGTGCTTTAGTCATACACTGTCCGGGACAGCAACGAAAAGTCAGAAACTATAGTAATAGAATGCATTTTAGTCAATACTATAAGGAAAGTAATGGTAGACGACCAATGCGTTTGTAGGTACCTCATGTATTTCTTCAATTTTAAATCTCACACAGAAAATATGATGTTTTACAACATGTATTATTGGCTGTACATCGAGAGAATGAAATTATTTTTATTAAATTACCCAATTTTATTAATTACTTTGTTAGATATTCTTAATTGAACCAATATATTTTTCTGATAGGTATTTAATTGTGGAAAAATTAATTTAAGTTATAAAATTGATCAACGTAGTTTAAATTTATAACTTAATTAAAGATTTGGTTAAATTGAATTGGTAAAGTTTGATATGCTATGATCAAATAATTTTGTAAGTGCCTATATCAAAACAAAACATGTGATATTCATGAAAATTTGAATGAAAAGAGAAATAACCATTATTACGTAATTATTAAGTGAGTTCAAGAGATCTGTTTAATTATTGTTAGATATTAATATAAATCACAATTTTACACGATTAGTCTTAAATAAGTACTGCAAGTGTATACAATTATAGTGCGACACACACATTAAAGTAAAACAAGCACAACTCCGTTCGCGAGCCCTTGTAATTTAAATAAGTACAATATAAACATATCACTATTACATATTGCAATTATTAGTTTGTAAAATCTCAGTTTAATATCATGATAAATTAGGTAGAATCGTATCGCAAACTTAGGCCGAAATTTCTAGAGTCCTTGACAATTTAAATACGTTTTTAATAATTACAATAGCAAGTAAATTTATGAATTGTAAATATAGTAGCATTTTTTTTTAATAGTCACAAACTGAGATTTTAGTACGATGATAAATAATTCCGAGGAAAGTACCTCATATGGAATGTAACACCTCATACCAATACTGATAACCACATTCATACATACAATGTTACTGAAATTGCTCATTAAAGAACGTTATATAATAAAAGTCATCTTACTAAACAGTAAAGCTTAACTAGTTTATGCACTGCGTTCAGAAACGGACGTTTTTGATTCTACTGAATTAATTGTATCGTTTTATTCACGAACGAACGCTCGCGTGCGTTTGTACTACATCGGCAGACAGACCAAGAACGCAGTGGGAGGCGGAGCCTAGAAGACAGTGCGTTAAAACTAAGGCTGGTTATGCACTGCGTTTGTGAACGTTCGCCCGTTCGAGAACAGACTTCTATATCCGTTTCACCACGTTCGCTACAATCCGTTTGCTTTGAACATACGTATGATATTTCTGTCAGCTTAATTCTACTTTCCATAAAGATAATTCCCTCACAGCGTTCTTGGTTCGTATGTCTACGCAGTTCAAACACACGTTCGCATAAACTCGACGTATTTAAAGCGAACGGACATCTGTCTTTGAAACCCAAGAAAGAGACAACACAAATGTCATATTTGCGTTCAGAGAGAACGTCTGTAGCGAATGCATTGAACCGTATGACCGAAGCAAATCCACACAAACGTCGAACAAACAAGTAGCCTAAAAGACAATGCGTTAAAACTAAGGCTGGTTATGCACTGCGTTTGTGAACGTTCGCCCGTTCGAGAACAGACTTCTATATGGATCTGCGTTGGCCATCCGTTTCACCACGTTCGCTACAGTCCATTTGCTTTGAACACACGTATGAAATTTCTGTCAACCTAATCCTACCTTCCAAAAACATATGTCCTTTACTGCGTTATTAGATCGTCTATCTACGCAGTGTAAACTCACCTTTGGGAATATTTTACTCATGAATATCTATGGCGTATTGAACAGCACAATATTTAGTGAAGAAACAAATTTTATGTGATTTTACATTGTGCAAAATTTTTTCCTTTGTTATTTTATAAAATTGAGAATTGCAAGCGCGCCCTATTGCATGCCTATATACCTACCGAGATGAATAAAATACTTACGGTTTGATTGGATCAGGTTTCTAGACCATTTTTATTTCCTTTGGTAGCATTTCTTGTTTGGTACGTGGTCCATATTCGGCACCTTTCCTCTAAGTTGTACACCTTACCAGTTAAGTAAACTTTTGTAAAACAAACATACGATATCTATATCATCTATATATATATACAAAAAAATAAAAACTTTTTAACTTATTTTACAAAGATGGCAACAGACCACACAAACAAAAATTGAACTGTACCGACGACGATGACGCCGACGGAGACGGCTAAGCCTTCATTGGAATGTTTCGTGTTTTCGAACTACTAGAAGCTATATTTTATTAACACAATGATATTGCCTACTACACTTTTGATACCTATTTGCACATAGATACCCTTAACAATACAAAAAAAGCTCCTATATAAAAAAAATCCACAGTCAACGATCTCAACATCAAAGTATAAAACAGATGCCTTTGTCATGTGTTTGCACAAATCTACAGAAATAAACAACATTTAATTAATTGCTAGAATGGACAGAAAGTTTAGTAATCCACAGGATGGTCCGCACTACCCTCCGCATCCGAATCGTCGTCGTCTTCGTCATCTCTGATATCGTCTACGGAATTGCTGTTCACCACCTTCCCCAGATCATTGACTTTATTTATGATTGCATCTGAAAACAATTGAGAAAATCTAAAAATTCTTCTACCAATAAAATGACCCACAAACTATTGTAGATACTGAACAATAAAGAGAAAAATCGATACACGTCTCACAATATGAGTTTTGGCAGTGGTTTCGCAGTTTAGCAACAGTTTTTAAAATTCCTTGATGATCAGAATTTAGTTTTGTAAGATATGAATTTCAAAGATCAAAAACAATAATGCCTACCAAAGTACCCATAAGTAAGATATATACTGAAAAAAAACAAATGTATTTCTTCAAAATCAAACACCAAAACGGTATCGCTAAACCTAAACTTCATCAGGTCAAGGACCATAGTATTAAAGTACTTCTACTTCAATTGGAGTCGTCTGTCAAACGTTTTGTCGACAACTATATAAGGCATCCACAGAATTAGTCGACCAAGACATCGAATTGAGTGTGGAAGATTGCTGATGGAAGAGAACTCAGATCATCATCATTTAACTTGAAGGATCATTATTTCAAAGAAGTAAGATGTTTATGTGTTATGTTTTGCATCTGTAAGCATTGAAATAATTTCAAGACTGATGCTGACATTAGCAGAAAACCATAACGCGATAATCCAAAACCAATACCTCGACTGGCATAGTCATATTATGTTTGTTTTGCATCAAAGATAAACATACGAAGTCTATCCCAAAATGCACTAAACCAATTTCAAGACTACTATTTTGGACATTGGAGGTTTCCAGGTTTGTTGGTGATGGTCTAGATTGGTTGATGATTCTAGCAGGCGTTTCATCATTAGCAGTGGATGACATCTTCTGACGAATGCGTGATCAGAGTATTCCATTCAGCGGCTGCGTTGCGTTGGCAAGTGATCATGACCAACAAACCCGGAAACCCCAATGTCCAAACTGACTCCAGTCATGAAATCCTACATCAATTAAGACTACAATTGTTTCTTTCTCTTTACTTTGCCTACAAAACCAAAACATTTTTTTTAAATTATGAACTAATAAGTACCAGTCCTATATTTTGAAGCTCAAAATAAGATGCACATAAGGTATTTGCTCATTGCATTTCCCCTATAGTTGTTTATCAATCAGTCAGGATGCTATTGGTGGATGAATGTCAATAATATATACACACGTAATAGTTTAGACTTCTCATTCACTTGATATGACTTTATTCAAAGAAAAAGCTATTAAAATTTAAAACGCTTAATGCATACATAATTGGATTTTCACAGGGAATAGAGCCATTTTTCAATTTTTTCGTTGTTGGAGAAATCCCAAATTCTCAATGTTTTTCAGAAAGTACAAAATCCTCATCTAAATATATAAATTTATTGTTCGTTTTCAGGCGTATTTCGTTTTGGAATAAAATTCTTTTATTGATCCTAAACTTTCGGTACAATATGAATAATTTGGTTGCCTTGTAGGCCGAGAAAGGTTGTTATCCAAAAATAGCATGGTAATTTCGTCGTCCATAAAACCTATTTTCCGTTTGTATAAAAGTTTTCTAGAATTGCAAACGGTCTCTATTATTTGGCATTTTTCCTTCCAGTTGTATAACAACTGACTGACTCTGTGCCAATATCAATAATAATAATAATGGCTTGCCCTACTAACTATTGGAACCATATAAATACATACGTACGTACGTACGTTATAAAACAAAATTTGTTTTCGTGATTCTAAACACAAAACGACCATAGTTAAAAATAATGGCCCTTAAAAATGGATTTTTTGTTGCTTACGACTTACCGCAGTTTGGTTTTGCATGAGTGCGGGTGTTGGCAAACTCCACCCCATGTTTATCCACACACCAACACATTCCTATTGCAGTGTGACATTGCATGGGTTTGTAGTAGCCCTGACTGTCACAAGAAGGGGTGTAAACACCTGGAAATGAAAAATTTAGAAATTACATAAGCAAATCTGGTCCATGTTTTGCCAGTAAGTAGCTCAGAGAAATGGATCGAAGTGGACATCGCCAATTGTAAATTAAAAAGGTGATAAGATATGTAGACCTCAACAACCTGATGATGACGTTTTTATTGCTGCTAAGAGCGACTAAAGAAAACTTGAAAAATTGGAATCTAATAAAGACCAAAGTACTTCACACAATCCCAATGGAAAATCAGCTCCAGTCAAATTGTCTGCAATTGGAGTGTGATGTTTTTTATGACATTCTGATTAAAAGTTCGTGTGGGCACCGTTTAATGTACAAATGATAGAGTATTCAGTCGATTATTTCATCAAGAACTCAAGACAAGAAATGTTTAATACAAAAGTTATCGGGTCTAAAGGTAGATCGCAATGATAACCTCTATCGTAGTCTTTCTCCAAAGTCATTTCAAGATCAAGCGCATTTTTGAAATGACCGCTGACCCATCGTAATGAAACCCCTGCACCTTAGCCTATGGATTTAACCACCACCACTACGAATTAAACCTTAAATCTGTCGGACATGTCTAAATTCTGCCCGCAGGCAGGAGGAATTACCAGCTGGGGCTTCAGGCCTCCCGTAGTACCAGTTTACATAACTGGTTTTGATATTCTGGGATCAAGAAACTCTTCCAATCGAATTATTTGCACTACGACACTGCTAAGACATTTTGAGTTTACAAAACCGCTCCCATCCCCTGACCCTTCGCGCTCATAACGAACCCGATCTTCTGTGATGAATTTATTGGATAAAGCCATTTGCGCGAAACTTTTATAAGAAATCTTTACTAATTAGGCTACTTTCTACATTCAGTTGGCTAGGTTGTGGCTAATCTTAGTTTAAGGGGTGAATATTGTGTGGTCTGCCCACAGAACTTATCTTGGATACTAGAGTTCGGTACTAAAACCCCATACGACACCTCAAGCGGCTATTTACGCTACACCCCTGCTACTAGTCACAGATACTTATGCCAAGTACATATACCTATTCCAACATCTCAAAGGACTCTCTGCAGGATCACACTGTCGTGCAATAGACTGTATGCCATTTTCAAAATACAACGGAATTTGCTTTATTAGGAATTAATTTTCAAAAAATAGATGACAGAACATCTAAAGCACATAGACTGTACATGGGTCCACATAAGTACCTAAACCTAATTCAATTTTTGATTTCGAGGAGAAACTGATCGAAACGTTTAACCATTTGAAACAACGTAGTGTCAACTTAATACGTACATAAAAAATAGCACAGTTTTTAATTTTACCGACAACCATTACAGTTCAAAAAGTTCAAAGTTAATTAATAGAAAAACACCTACAATCACCTGAATCGAGGTCAGCAAAGCACAGATTATTTTAATCAGAAGCTGTCCCATTAGACTTCTGCTTGTGAAAAATAATTATAGTGAATTCAACAATTTTAAGACACGGCAAGAATTTTGATCATTAATTAGAAACTGACTAATTAATCAAAACCTTTTCTGTTTCAAATGAATTGTACATTTAAAACAAAGGGCATGTTTGGTAAGGCCATTAATAAATGTTAAAATGTTTATGTTTGCTCAGCTTTATCGACCTAAATCAGTGGTTTGATTTGATAAATGTTGTAAAGTTGATGATAAAAAGCACAATGGTGCGGTTGGTGGCAAACCCATTTCAGGGATGATCTAATTCGAACCTTACACGCAATTTCTAAAATGAATAGCTGTCAAAGGCACAGCTTAAGGGTTGGGAGTATAATATCGTAGCTCTAAGAACCACCCCAATATACTGGAAGAGAATTTTCATTTATATAATATATCAGAGATTTTTTAATAGTAAAGTCAGTGTCTAGATAAAATAAAATTTACTAATTTGTACCTAAAAATTCCTAAAAGAAAACCATGGTAATATTAATAAACAATAGTAAATTTAATACGGTAGTTTATAAACGAGTTTTGTTGCATACTAACTATTTTATAATTTGATAAGTACATTTTTCACCATGCGTCGTCAGGTTGAAGTACAATTACACTAATTTAACAATAAAAAGTTATAATTAATTAATCTTTCATATTTTTGAATTAATAATTCAAAACAGGATGGCTTTCCCACTATATCCAATCTACCGGGAAAGAAAGTGTGTCGATATTCAACTTTGACAACATATTTTTCTTTTTTGTTTAGAAAAAGACCCACAAAACACAAAAATATTTATGAAAAAATAGAAGTGAAAAGTTAATTTTTCAAATTAGTGAAAAATGTCGTTAGTTTAGATAAGGTTAATATTTTAAATGTCTCTTTTTAAAACAAAATTATACAAATTTTGACTCTGTTGACCTTTTTTCATTATTGTCAATAAAAAAGTTTTAACTATCGATTAGCACTTATAGAATTTATTTCCATATCAGTGTAAATAAACTTTCAGTCGAAGTACTTCAGTAACTACGGTAATAAATACAATGTTTAAATTACAAAATTGGTAGTTCATTGACCACAATATCAATTCGGCTTCTCCAAGTGGAAAAAATACTAAACATGGACTAAAGCAAAATCGTTTATGCATCAAAATTAAAACTAATTGGGGATGGGGGTTGAACGACTGCCAAAAGGGAGAAACTAACTTTGTAGTTGCTCAACCCTACCTTTAATTAATCTCAATTAAGGTAAATTAGAGATTTTGTCTTTGTTTAAGTTTGGTATTTCTTCCACGCGATGTGTGCCGAAAGAATCTTTGTGGTCTATTTTGTAATATAATCTTGGTGTCAGATTTTCCATTTAAGGATATTTGAGAGGTATGTCAAAATGCTACGAGACCAATAAAAACTTGGAAGAACGTTCCTCATTCAATTCTAAAACTCCTGTAAAATTTACAAATGGATTCACTAAACCGTTAAAAAGTTATTGAAATTTTAAAAAATTATAATTTTACACGTCATTTTATGGAGATTCGTTAACCGAACAGATTAAATTTATTTTTATTAACAGAAAAAAAGCTACCAGAAATTTCAAACTTTTATAATAAGTAACTTGAACTCTGGAGAATCACTTTAGCGTAAGGTTATTCAAATTCACTAAATGGTTATCGAGGAAAAAATGAAAAATTAGCTGAAAATCTCGTTTTTACTTGATAATATAATGATAATATTTATAATTGTCTGAAATAAATGCAATTTTAAAGTTTTAATTATTATTTAAACATATTAAAAAGTTTTACGCTCATTATTAATAAAGATTGAAACTAAATATTTTTTTGTTTCGAAGTTGAAATCAAGGCATATTCACTGCCAAAAGTCAATTAAAAATTTTCCATATTATTCGTTTTTTCTTATTTTATTTAAAGGTTTTGATCAAATTCCAAATTTTCTCTCAAACCATATACTTTTTTTAGTATAGATAGTATTTATTTACCTCATGATATGCGGCAAAACCTAATTAATCACGAATTTCTAATTTTATGTACTCTTGTCTCCGATTATACCTCCCAAGCATCCTTAAGTCTGACAGATGTCGTTTTGGCTTGAAATGATTATAATGATGTATCAACACGTTTCGCTAGCACAAGTAGCAAGCTTCTTCAGAGATCCTCCCATCTCTGATACTGGATATGGAGATGGAAAGACCTCTGAAGAAGCTCTCCACTCGTGCTAACGAAACGTTAGGAAGCAACTTCAACCGATGACGACCTTTAGGACAGCATCAGTTCACCAAAATTATTCAAAATTTTTTTGAACAAGTGATTTATTTTAATTAGGTGTTACTATTCTTATTTAGACTAGTACAGCAATTTCTCCAGTGTTGGCTTTAAAAACTGAAAATTTCAAAATAGTCTATCCACGAAATCAACAAATTTCATTTGCAAAAAAAAAAAACATTAAATGCGGGACATTAAGAACAGACACTTTTATTGATTCGTAGGAACTCTATTAAATTTTTCCGAGTTTATCCGTGTTCTGTGTAATAAATTTAATCTACCTTGCATTTCCATGGTGATTTTGCGCTTGACTGCAGCACAGGGTCGTTCGGTTCTTTGAAAACAGCGGCACCATTCCGACGGCGTCACAAAGACGTCCCTGTCCGCGTCGCATTGTTGAAGGAACGGTCTCATGCAGATCTCGCTTTGGTCGTGTTCCAAGTCGTAGAGCTCCTCGAGAGACAGACGGGAGTCGCCGTTCAAATCCAAGTGCTGAAACATCCATCGCACCTCCAACTTGCATAAGGGTGGGAAATGCACTGCAAGCAAAAATTCGACCACTTATCTATCTATCCATCTCTCAAACTTATCTTAGAGGAAATAAAAAAGGGAACTGAACAAGGTGACTGCAATCCAATTGTTCTTTCTCTCTTAAAGAAAATCATGACTCATTTTGTGGATTTTATCCCATAAAATAACGAAAATTCGAACCAAGTTTTGCTTGATTTAATCTATTTGATAATTCTTTTGTTTTCTCGTCAATCGTCTGATTAATTAACCCATTGGTAGAACAGGTTTTCAAAACTAATTAAAATATGTATATTACAAAAATTGTCCAATACAAAAAACAGATTAAAAGTATCACTAAACTAAAAAGTCTAAACATGTCAACAAAAACTAGTATAAAATTCCTCTCCATCCAAAAGTCAATCGCCTTTTATTAAATGCAAAAACTGCGACAACAGTATATAGGTCAGAGCCGCAGGGTAATTAAGGTCAGGTTTTAAGAGCACTTAGCTCACCTTAGATTTAATAAAATAGAAAAATCTAGCGTAGCATCCCACATTGTTGAAAATAACCATAAAATAGATTCCAGTTGTTTAACTTTAATCAGAAGCGTCAGTTACCATTTCCGTAGTTCTTAGGCTTTCACGGCCGTCGTCTATCGATGCTGTGTTTTCTTCAGGGCTTTTTGGCCGTGGTCCGTGGAATCTTCCTTCGGCGAAACGTCTGGAAAAGCAAGATTCCTCAGACCACGGCCAAAAAGCCCGGAAGAAAACACAGCATCGAATTACCACTTCCTTTTAGACGTTTATGAAAATACTGAAGTGTACAAAAACAAAGACAATCTCAAGAACTCAGATAATGGTCTTGTTCCAAACTTGGACATTTTCAGATTATTATCCAAATAGAAATAGACCCACATCCCACCTGGAGGAGAGTCAAACCAAAGCATGCATCCACAACTTCAGGTTATTGAACGATTCCACCATAAATGTTCCCTTCTTGTTGGGTATTGAACATCTACTCTTTGCTAGCCATCAATTAGTTTCAGTAAGGCATCTCTCAAAAACTCTACCCCTAATATGGACTTAACTCTCCTTAACACATTTAATTTTGCATATTCTTATTGGTTTCGGTTAAAATTTTAGAGAGAGATCGAAACAATATAATTAGGTTTAGATTTAAGATTAACCTAGTCTTTAACTGAACATGACACCTTACATGTCGAAACGTTTTAAACTTTTTGTGGAATTTATTTATAGAAAATCAATTACAAAACTCATAACAGCCAAAAAAAAAGTACACTGAAATTATTGTCATTAATTTTACCTTTTCATAAATCACAAACACCCTTGTTCTAAAATATTTTCAAAATCACCTTATTTATTTAGCTATATTTTCCCTTTTGAATAAATAAAAAAAAGCTAATTAACTGTTCATTAGCAAAAGTAGGTAGTTAAAAGGCTTTCATCATGCTAAAAACAAAAAGAAAAGAAACGGCGAGAGCGCTTACTCGTACCTTCGCCGTTATCAATAATTCGCTGGTTTTTCGAAGTTCACAAAAACTTTGTAGATGTATGTACCTAACCCAGCTGCCTAACGATCTCATTTTAATTATTTATTATTATTATTTGCTCGGTTTCCGCGATAACATCTTCACTGCAGATCCCACGCCTCCCAATCCGCGCATTACATTAGACCCCATACTACTCACAACTGAGAAATTTTGTACGAAACTTTTCCAACTTCTTATCCCCGATGCGGAAAACCCACGCCCCAGTTTCCAGCACAATGCAGACCGACGATGATTTTAATGAGTTAGATGTTTGTACTTTGACTGAATTAATTAACAACGGTGATAAAGATTGATGATAGAACGGACTGCAAATTATACCCAATCTAGTTCTAATCGTTCGGGATTAATAGCCAAAAACTTCTATTGACACCAAATCATTTGTAGATTAAAACTTATAGATCGTTCTCATTCCTTCCATGATAAATGTATGATTTTCATTATCCAACTAGCTGTATTCGATGAATAAGCACAAACAGCGTAGTAAACGCCATCTGTAGGAGAATTCAAAAAGATCTTTACTACAGCAGTGTATATATATATATATCACTGTATAGGTAGTGATCTGTAAATGTAAGCGACTAGTAGTATATTAGTGAGAAGGGAAGGGGTTGTGATATCGGATGGGGATGAACAAGATCATCGATTATATGATTGTTAATAGCAGAAGTCGATAGATAATAGAGAGGGTAGGTACAGCAAGGGTCTGTGCACTCCCTAATTTAGTTACTTTTAAATTAACCCACTTAATAACATGATATACATAAGTGGAAGTCAGTGTTCAAAAATCAACCCCACTACCATGAACCTTTGAAGAAGGAAAGTAGAAAAGGCCCAACTACATGCATTTTGTGTTTTCGATGTAAGGTCACCTATTTTACTTTAATTTAATGTTTATTTTTATGTTTGTATTATGTACAGTTTAATTTATATACAAGTGTACGTATGCACCCACATATAATCATTTTGGTTGAATTTTACCATAAGTTTTGATATAACAATTTTTCCTTCATTGTTTTCTACATTTTTCATACAAAACAAAAAGACAGTCTTGACTATGCACCTAAAGTTTGGGCTAGATTACGGTTGAAAATGTTTTCTTTGATTAGTATTTAGGATAACTGCTGCACACCAAAGATTTAGATCAGGTAATGGTATGGGCAGTCCTCGTAATTAAAATGTACCTAAACAATGTGAAGCATCGATAACGGTACCCACTCGTTCAAATTTGGACATGGATAACGGTACCCACCAGTGCAAATTTTGACATGGATTACTATATCCACCAATCAAATTTTGACATGGATTACTATATCCACCAATCCAAATTTGGGCATGGATAACGGTACCCACCCGTGCAAATTTGGACATGGATAACGGTACCCACCCGTGCAAATTTGGACATGGATAACGATACCCATCCTTGCAAATTTGGACATGGATAACGATACCCATCCTTGCAAATTTGGACATGGATAACGATACCCATCCTTGCAAATTTGAACATGGAGAACGGTACCCACCCGTGCAAATTTGAACATAGATAACGGTACCCACCCGTGCAAATTTGGACATGGATAACGATACCCATCCATGCAAATTTGGACATGGATAACGATACCCATCCTTGCAAATTTGAACATGGAGAACGGTACCCACCAGTGCAAATTTTGACATGGATTACGATATCCACCAATACAAATTTGGACATGGATAACGGTACCCACCCGTGAAAATTTGGACATGGATAACGGTGCCCATCCTTGCAAATTTGGACATGGATAACGATACCCATCCTTGCAAATTTGGATATGGATAATGATACCCACCCGTGCAAATTTAGACATTGATAAGGGTAGTGTTATCTTTCCATACGTTTCAAAGATCATCGACAACCACATAAAACTAATTTCTTATCCCTTGGGAACAGTATTCTTTTTTAGATAAAAGGTATCCTATGTCCTCTTCTGCACCCCTACCAATGTGCGTACATAATTTGGTGTTGATCGATTGAGTAATTAATGCGTGAACTGGTAATAAAAAAGTAAACAAACAAACACATTCGCATTTATAATAATTAGGATTTCAATAATAGATATTGTTAACAGATAAAAGGATCATGTAAACTTTACATAGTTGACTAGAAAAGTTATTCATTGTAGAATAATATTTCCAATCGTCAGTCATCATTACTTACCCCGATCAAAGATATTTAATTATCACTACAGTCTGTCCGTTACTATCAAATGTTAATTCATCAAATTTACTATATTATGTAGTTACATCTGTAACGAAGTTCTGTCAAACAGTTGTCAATGTTTGATGAAGTTGATTATAATTGACATTGTCCTGTTCGCAATTCTCCATGATAGATCGATTCTGTTTTCACTTGAGATATCTATTCTCACTGCTCCATATTTTATATAAATTTGTTTTCCCTATTAAAGAAGATAAAAAAAGATTTGAAAATTTAACGAAGAATCTAAGAGTGCAATTGGGAAATTCAGACCAAACTAAAATGTAACACCACAAAGCTCTCGAAGGACTTACACTCGGTTGTAAACTTCGTCTCTGTATCATACAGAAAATTGAATTCGCCACATAGTGGGAGTATGTTTGCCGGCAGAACCTTATGCTGCTAAATTTATTGATGTAATGACTTTGCATTATGAAACAATACCTATATGTGAATTGTGGGAGTAGCAAAGAAAAGCGAGATAAATAAAGTGACTCAGAAGCCTATTTGTACGATGTCAAGGATATTGATACAGAAAATTTATATACACGTACACGTGCACACTTGGGGTAAGAAACAAAAATTCAAAATTAAAGTTATCGACCAACATTCCAAACTGCTCACATTTACAAAAGAAAAAAAATTGGATTAGGAATGCCTCACGAATGATCGATGATTTTTTTGCTTTTACTTATTTCTTTGAATCTAAGTCAGATAAGTCAGGACGGAAGTAGTAGTAGGAATATAAAGCAGAAAGTAACGTAGGGTCGAATCGCCATCAATAAAAAGAAGTCACTTACATGCTCGAAAATTTAGAAATTCGAAAAGGGTTGTTAAATGTGTATGTTTGGAATGTGACCCTGTACGGGTGCTAAACATGAACGGTGGGCGCGGCGGAAAAGAAAAGGTTAGAAGCGTTCGAAATGTGGTGTTACAGGCGAATGATGAGGATACTGTGGATAGAGAAGGTTAGAAATGAAGAGGTATTAGAAAGAATAGGAGAACAGAGGACTATATGGAAGTCAATAAGAAATAGACGAGATGTTGGTAGGACATCTTCTCACGCATCTAGGTCTAGTTAGAGACATATTAGAGGCGGAAACGGGAGTTAAGAGGACTAGACCTAAATTAAATTACTGTTCGCAAATAGTTAAGGATGTAGCATGTTCTGGTTTTAGTGAAATACGAAAATTAGCTCAGGATAGGAAAGGGAGGAGGCGCGTGTCCAACCAGTCTTACGACTGACGACCTTATGATGATGATGATGATGAAGCGGTTTTAATTTGTTATATTGTAAAAGGCTTCGTAAATTTAGATTTTTGTCTATTAATATTTTAAATCTAAAATTAACGGATTCAACATCTTTTCCGCGAAATTATTTCCTCTTTTTTTTTATATTAATTAAAAAGTGAGATGGCCATTAATTATTCTATCTTAACAGATTCACCCTGTGCTGCTGTGTTACTGTTTGCTTAGTTGACGCTTCAAACGAGTTTTGCCGCGTTTCTTCCGAGCTCCGAGATAATATTTTTAACTTCACAAAGATGGGTACTAATGACTAAAATCGAGCTAGCATAAGATTAATATCAAATAGGACAAAGCAAGTAAGATCAAAGGGTGCGTAATTTAAATCTAACAGAAAAAGAAGGATAGAACGATCCTCTTTATATACAAAAAAAATTAGAGTTCATTCCCGTTCGTATAAATCATAAATTCCTCATATGATATGGTAAGACATGTTCTTTATTATTCATTGTATCGCTGAGCACGTAAAAGATTGGAGAAAGTCTACTGTATTCATTTTAAATGAGTATTTAAAATTACAGTAGGAAGTAGCACCACATTTACTGTAGGTACAAACAAAACAATAACAAAATAATAATCAGACAAGGCGATGCCATGAAATGCAATAATTCAGGCCCCTACCCAAAGGGGGGATTCCGGGGAATGATCCCTGCCCCAAATTTTTCTTCAGTTGACTTTTTCAACTTGTGTTATTAATTAGGAGATATGTTAAAAATAGATTTCTTTCATAATTTCCTGTCAAAACGCCTGTAGGTAAAACTGCTTAAGAAACTCGGAAGACATTTGGTCAATATTTCGAATAAAATACCCCATAGTAAGTCAGGTACAAGAAGCATTTGATCGCATACAGTGCTACATCAATAGCGACTTGAGGGGATAATTCGTAAATCTGTTCTGGTTCGCAAAAATATCAAGATACCAAGAAAAGGAAGACGAACATGGTCGACGCAATATATATTATTAATAGAATCAGAGAATCCCTTATTTCAATAGGACAAGAGGAAGATGTAATTGTAATCGTAATAAAATGCCAAAACTTTTGCTTTCCCGAACAACATTTTCAAAGACATCACCGACCACGGACAATTCCGGCAAAAATTGATAACTGTGAATCCCATATGTGATACAAGTATATTTTATACAAAACAATTTTTAAGCGTTTAAGATAAAATTACAAACTTTTTACATGATAAACTCAAAATGGTTGTAGAACGTTTGAATGCAATCTCAAACATATTCACAAACCCTTTAAACAAAACGAATATCACAAGTAAAAATACTGAAAAATTGACTCTACTGTATCCACCTGATCACATAGCTGAATCATAACCTCTTAGAAATATTATCTGATATATGCTTTTTTATAAAGATAGCAGCTAAATATAAATTTCCGAATTTTCAGGTACACTAGTACATTGTATGCTACAGAGACAGATATAGAAACGAGTGATACCTATCTCTCTTCCTCCGTAACCAAGCACACCCCTTCCGTAACCAAGCCTTCTGGTTATGGTTATGGAACGGCTACCTGAGAAGACCTTTTTCCGGATTTTCAGGTACACTGGTACATTGTATGCAACAGAGACAGATACAGAAACGAGTGATACCTATCTCTCTTCCTCCGTAACCAAGCACACCCCTTCCGTAACCAAGCCTTCTGGTTATGGTTATGGAACGGCTACCTGAGAAGACCTTTTTCCGGATTTTCAGGTACACTGGTACATTGTATGCAACAGAGACAGATACAGAAACGAGTGATACCTATCTCTCTTCCTCCGTAACCAAGCACACCCCTTCCGTAACCAAGCCTTCTGGTTATGGTTATGGAACGGCTACCTGAGAAGACCTTTTTCCGGATTTTCAGGTACACTGGTACATTGTATGCAACAGAGACAGATACAGAAACGAGTGATACCTATCTCTCTTCCTCCGTAACCAAGCACACCCCTTCCGTAACCAAGCCTTCTGGTTATGGTTATGGAACGGCTACCTGAGAAGACCTTTTTCCGGATTTTCAGGTACACTGGTACATTGTATGCAACAGAGACAGATACAGAAACGAGTGATACCTATCTCTCTTCCTCCGTAACCAAGCACACCCCTTCCGTAACCAAGCCTTCTGGTTATGGTTATGGAACGGCTACCTGAGAAGACCTTTTTCCGGATTTTCAGGTACACTGGTACATTGTATGCAACAGAGACAGATACAGAAACGAGTGATACCTATCTCTCTTCCTCCGTAACCAAGCACACCCCTTCCGTAACCAAGCCTTCTGGTTATGGTTATGGAACGGCTACCTGAGAAGACCTTTTTCCGGATTTTCAGGTACACTGGTACATTGTATGCAACAGAGACAGATACAGAAACGAGTGATACCTATCTCTCTTCCTCCGTAACCAAGCACACCCCTTCCGTAACCAAGCCTTCTGGTTATGGTTATGGAACGGCTACCTGAGAAGACCTTTTTCCGGATTTTCAGGTACACTGGTACATTGTATGCAACAGAGACAGATACAGAAACGAGTGATACCTATCTCTCTTCCTCCGTAACCAAGCACACCCCTTCCGTAACCAAGCCTTCTGGTTATGGTTATGGAACGGCTACCTGAGAAGACCTTTTTCCGGATTTTCAGGTACACTGGTACATTGTATGCAACAGAGACAGATACAGAAACGAGTGATACCTATCTCTCTTCCTCCGTAACCAAGCACACCCCTTCCGTAACCAAGCCTTCTGGTTATGGTTATGGAACGGCTACCTGAGAAGACCTTTTTCCGGATTTTCAGGTACACTGGTACATTGTATGCAACAGAGACAGATACAGAAACGAGTGATACCTATCTCTCTTCCTCCGTAACCAAGCACACCCCTTCCGTAACCAAGCCTTCTGGTTATGGTTATGGAACGGCTACCTGAGAAGACCTTTTTCCGGATTTTCAGGTACACTGGTACATTGTATGCAACAGAGACAGATACAGAAACGAGTGATACCTATCTCTCTTCCTCCGTAACCAAGCACACCCCTTCCGTAACCAAGCCTTCTGGTTATGGTTATGGAACGGCTACCTGAGAAGACCTTTTTCCGGATTTTCAGGTACACTGGTACATTGTATGCAACAGAGACAGATACAGAAACGAGTGATACCTATCTCTCTTCCTCCGTAACCAAGCACACCCCTTCCGTAACCAAGCCTTCTGGTTATGGTTATGGAACGGCTACCTGAGAAGACCTTTTTCCGGATTTTCAGGTACACTGGTACATTGTATGCAACAGAGACAGATACAGAAACGAGTGATACCTATCTCTCTTCCTCCGTAACCAAGCACACCCCTTCCGTAACCAAGCCTTCTGGTTATGGTTATGGAACGGCTACCTGAGAAGACCTTTTTCCGGATTTTCAGGTACACTGGTACATTGTATGCAACAGAGACAGATACAGAAACGAGTGATACCTATCTCTCTTCCTCCGTAACCAAGCACACCCCTTCCGTAACCAAGCCTTCTGGTTATGGTTATGGAACGGCTACCTGAGAAGACCTTTTTCCGGATTTTCAGGTACACTGGTACATTGTATGCAACAGAGACAGATACAGAAACGAGTGATACCTATCTCTCTTCCTCCGTAACCAAGCACACCCCTTCCGTAACCAAGCCTTCTGGNTATTTCTTTTCACGTCTTTTTTGTTCGTGCAGCTGTTAATTGGATCACGCTCTAGGTCCTCCTTTCAGCCAATATTCACTGAACGCTTTATTTCCTTGTTAATTTAATTTATATGGTGTATTAAAAACGAAGTTTATTCAAAAACATAATAAGGTATCCTGAAAGCAATTTAAATTGATGTTATGTCGTGTAACGCAGTGCCATTTCGAATTAATCCTTACGGCGACAAAACAGGATAATGGAGCCATTCTAAAATATCCTTTCTAAATCTGAAGCAAGAATTGTGCATTTTGCAGGATTAACAGTTTTTAGAGCAATGGGAAACGGCGCTGTATAACCGACATTGCAAGTAATCATACCTTGAACTATCCACTTTTTTCATATTAATAGACATGTTTTAAATTAATATAGTTTTACCCATGAACATTGCTAGTTCCTTTAAAAATGTCCAATTATTAACTTGACCTGCTCGCAGGGAAGTGGACCAAAACAGTAATCGAAGAAAACAATTGAAATTTCGCTGAAAGTTATGATTGTTTCTTCAGCAACTCATTCCAACTTTTCCTCTGATTGCATCATTTTTAAAAACCTGGTGTATGATTAATGTTTACTTTTTATCCGCTAAGAGAACCGTGAAGGAACTTCCGAACCTTTTGGTTTCAAAATAGCTTATTAATTAAATTAATCCACGTTTTAATCTTGGTAGAATAAGTAAAGAAAAACATAAATACATATAAAGAACTCTCTATGCAAGTAACAAGAAACTCAAACTGACCTTTAGATTTAGTGTGTACCCTCCTTCTCTTTGAAGAGTCGGCCATGACTACAGAGAACCAGTCGAGAAGACGGTTGCCCATGGTTTGCAACGCCACGGTGGAACACTGCTTGTTGGGGGTGGTCTCTGACCCCACGTCATCCCCGGACGCTACACTGCCGTAGATCTTGTTGTCGGTAACCTCATTGAATCCCCGCTGACGTTCCTTATCCTCGACATACAGCAAGTTGTTCGGATCCTGGAAAAATCACACTTAAGACCACTCTTCTCCGAAAACAGCTGAGTACACAAATCCCCTTTCCAAAGGAATTATGTACGTTCAAACGAACATGTACAAAACAAATAATGCAAAAACGTCATTTTGAAAGTCTTAAAAGTTGCCGCGGCGGAAAAGAAAATGTTATAAGACGAATGATGAGGATACCGTGGATAGAGAAGGTTAGAAATGAAGAAGTATTAGAAGGAATAGGAGAAAATAGGAGAACAGAAGACTCTATGAAAGTCAATAAGAAATAGGCGAGATAGGTTGGTGGGATACCTTCTCAGGCATGAAAGTCTAATCAGGGACATATTAGAGGCAGCAGTAGGAGGAGTTAAGAGAAGTAGAGGTAGACCTAGATCAGATTACTGTTCACAAACGCAGTATTATATCATATATAAATTAAGGATGTGGTATGCCATAGTATTAGGAAAATGCGAAGATTAGCTCAGGACCGGAAAGAGTGGAGGTGCGTGTGCAATCGGTCTTAGGACTGACGACCATACGATTATGATGAAAAGCATACATTAATTCTATCCAACGTATTTGTCTTCTAATAACCCAACAATAACTTACTGTTCTGCATTATATCGAAACTGATTTCGAACTTGTTGGTTCATATCAACACGTTCCTATGAAATAGTGACCAACTTATCATGGACGAATAGTGGAATAAATGAAGACGTTCTGAGACGCATTGTTAAGGAGAAAGAGGTTGTTAACACAGTCAAAAGACGTAAGCTAGAATATTTAGAACACATTTTGGGAGAGAAGAAATATGAATTTCTGCAGTTGATAATCTAAGGAAAAAGTAGTACAGCGAGAAGAATTTCATGGTTGCGAAGCATAAGAGAAGTTCGAATGCACTTTCGACCAACTTTTTAAAGAAGCCGCATCTAAATTAAAAGAAGCGATGATATTTTCCAATCTTCGAGTCGGAGATGGCATCAGATGGCAGATACCTACACCGGCGGTTCCATTTGGCAAGTTGATTACCATAATTAAAAGGAACTAAATCATAGTATTTCTACAATTCACTTCTGACAGTTTCTACAGAATGCTGACCAAACACTTAATGTTCATATACTAACTCAGGTCATTCTAAGATGCAATCCATATTTTGGTATGTCAATGAACATGCTTGGTAAAAGGAAAGTGTTTTTATATGAATGAGAAAGTTGTTTTAGTTTCTGAATGAGCAAAGGATAGAGGAATTGGTGTCGGATATCTCTCTAGATTAATCCAATACGAGTCCCATTTCAGTACTAGAAAACCAAAACTTTTTCTGAGTCAAGCTTACGTTAGTAAGTGGTGGTAACTTTACATCCGTTGTATGTATAAAGACTTAGACACTTCATTTTAAGATCCATTTTCTTAGCATCTATCATTTAATTAAAACGAACTCTTAAATGCTCTATCTCAACATAACAAATTTGAGTGTTAATAGCAAAAATAAAAACCAAATTAGAAGTTCACAATGTTCTGAATAAGTTTGGAAAAGTAAATGTGTTAACCATGTCTCTCAATTACCTCATAAATTGAGAACCAACGTTTTAAATCGTCTTATAAACGGGAGGCATTGATTGATAACCTAATTTAGTTGGAAGGAAAACAAAATCGTTTGCCAGTGGCAGGGAGTTATGGTTACGTCAGGGGCAGCAACAATTACGTCATTTCCTAACCAAACGGCCCGTGAAAGGAGATTGCGGTTGTTTTGGTTTAGAATTCGATCATCTGTCGAAGCATATTTCACCCCAAATCAATTCTAAATGGCAATCATACTATGTTTGATAAAAGAAACAACCAGTCGTCGTAAATCAAAAAATTTATTGCTAATTCACGTTCTTATACTCACTAGCTAAAGTCAAACATGCATGCGTTTCATCATCATCTTCATTAGGTCTTCAGTCCTACGACTGGTTGGACATACACCTCCACTCTTTCCTATCCTGAGCTAATCATCGCATTTCCCTACAACTAGAACATCCCACATCCTTAAATATTTGTGAACAGCAATCTAATCTAGGTCTTCCTCTACTTCCCTTAACTCATATTTCTGCTTCTAATATGTGTATTCTGAGTAGCCCTTCATACCTGAGGTGATGTCCTACCAACATATCTCACCTATGTTTGGTTGACTTTCATAGCGTCCTCTGTTCTCCTACTCTTTCTTACACCTTCTCATTTCTAACTTTTTTTTGTCTACGGTATCCTCATCATTCGCCTATAACATCACGATTTAAAGATTTGAGGCGCAGTATTTGGTACTTATGAATGCCGCAAGCGATCGATATCGGCGGCGCCCTTCATGAAGCCGAAAACTAGACTAAAAGTGGACCATAAATCAGGTAACGATAAGATTATCGGGAATTGTGCAAATGAATAGATAAACTAGAAAATTCGTTACAATACGTTTTATCGTAGCACCAAGTTCTGAATTTAATGATTTCTGAAAAAACAATACGTGTATGAGTTTCTAAAGATCCATTTTACCTTCAAAACTACGAAACTCTAAAAGATCTTTAAAAACACTTTTAAAAATAACGAAGCTATCAGCTTCCTACAGGTACATCAAGTCGATAGGCACTTGTGCTTTCTGCATCACAAAAATCTAGTTGTCGGTCAGTATAATAATAGCATCGCACGGTCGCGGCCGTCCCAGATCTTATACATACAAAACAAGAGAGTGCCAGTGCTTTACCTTGTTGTACTTGGTGTACTTGATGTATTTGTAGTGCTTGTTGGCGAACTTGAAGTCCTGCGGAGTGAACGTGTACTTATCGGCGTTGGCGCTGACGCCGCCCTCGCCGTTCCCCATGGCACTTCCATCCTGGGAGGCCAGATGATGGGGTGGCTTCTCGCTGTTTAAATTTCCGTTGGAGGCGCCGCTCTTGTTCAGCGTCGCTTTGTACTTATTCATAAATGAATTTAAACGTTCAGATTGACGCTGCTTTTTACGCAGGTGAATGTCGTTATCTACAAAAAACAAAAACAACGCGCTAAAAACAAGACTTATCTCGAACATTAAATTTTTTAGCAGGCACTACAAAGAAAATAATTGTAGGCATTAGAACCACCGGATAAAATATTAATTTAACGAAAAACAAGTGTACCTACAATATAATATAACGTAGTCTACTTTACACTCTTAATATATCATAAAAATTATATTTTAAATCAGAGTGAACCTTGGTTAAAATCGCATCGGTTATAACAGCAACTCGGATGTAACGTCAGGTATTAATATTAGTTCTGCAGATTTACCATTTAAACCAACACTAAAAATCTCGGTAGTAAAGACAACAAACTCGGATATAACGTTATGTTTCTAATGCTACAAATCCTTAAAAAGGTAGCATTATAACAGGTACTTTTGATAGGTAAAATGAAGAGTTACCCATTCATATAGGGGTAGCAAAGGCAAATATAGTTGCCATTGCTGACATTTATTACCATCACCCACTTGGCCCGTACAGATATGATAAAAAGTGTTTCCAAACTTGTTCAAATTTGCCTTGTAAAATCGTACCGCGCAAACTTCCGTTAATAACGACAAATTTCACTTAAAAAATAAAATAAAGTAGCTATATTAAGTTTCAAAGATTGTTTTTTCTGAAAAGAAATTTTACCGAAAAATGAAGACAAAAAATGTCTGCTTCAGAAACACTCAACAATAGTTATATGTACCTACTCATTTCCCTAATTGTAGAGAGACCTTACAGAATTTCAGTTAAATAAATATGAAACTCTGTTTGTTCATACATCTAATAAGTTACCATTTTCTATGCACTGTTGAGTAACTCCAGTGAATACTTGGCATTTTTTTAGAATATATTTATGTTCTTGTAAACGTTTTTTTAAGAAACGATGTGTATGACCAACATATGTACAAGGAAGTACAATATTTACGAATAATTAGCTAACGCCTGACTTAAAATTATTTATACCTTCAATGTTACCAACAAGAATTAGCTTTAGGTTATTCTATTTACACAAATAGACTTTAAATTGTATTTATATAGATCCCTAGACAAAAATTTTCAGTCTCTCAGAGTCTTTCAGCGTCTCTAAGAGCGTCTCTCACAGTCTTTCACAGTCTCTCAGTTATTGCCTAGGTGTTTTTATGAATCTCTCACAGTCTCTGTATGAGAGACTCGAACGATAAAATTGTTAATTCAGAGATTCGAATCTCTCGTTCAGAGATTGGATACGAAATCAGGATCTCTCTTTGAGCGACTCGAGTTTCTCGTTCAGAGACGCTAAACAGTTTTTTTGACAGTTTCTCTCAGCGACACCACAGAGACTCGATAAGAGACGGAGACTCAAGTCTCGCTTTCAGAGACTCTGAGAGACTGAACATTTTTATCTCGGGGACACTAGTGTGAATAGGATAATTTCTCAGTATACTTTCTTCATATTTCTGGTATCTAAGTGTAAAACTTTATTTCTCCCTCTCTTTTTTTAACACACACCCTCTAATTATTGGTAAAACGAAAGCGTGGTGTAAATACGGCTGGAATGATTTAAAGCGTGGCTTGGAAATGCATGAGGGCTGTTGGACTGGAATGTGTTCAAAGTTAAATTAATTCGTTCAAAATGCAATAGCCAGGGCCACGCTTACTGTCTAAAAGTGATATTTTATGGGAATATTTTCTAGCATAGCTGCACAAAACGAGAAACAAACAGCAGCACTAGCTGGTACTCGTTCATAAGTCAACTGTAACAGCGATGCAGTACATAAAAAAAAGAACAACAGAGGAATCGCTCTGCAGATGATTTCAGCAATTTATAATGATGTTGAAATTAAAAGGAACATCATAATCAATTTTTTTTTAGGTTGACTTTAAAACAAAATTACTCCTTCATATAGCAAGCAATGTAATTCATGAAATACTGTTTAATGATAGTAGGTATAGTTAGGACGTTCAAAATTGGTATGTACTACTCATGAAGCATTTCCTAACTTAACAAGGGCGTGTTCAAAATGCAGCAAAAGACTACAGTGTCAAGTGAATTCCGCAAAATATTCTACAGATGGCGCTCACTACGCTGTTTCTAGTAATTCATCAAATGCATTACATTTAGACATACGTTTAGCTTCAAAAGTTTGACATGCAGTATTAGTCGTTCTAAAAATATTCGCTTCGAAAACAGAACCACAACAATAATAGTTAGAATTTTCTGAAAGCAATATTTCTTTAGATAACCTATAATTTTTGGTTCAAGTAATGCTTAAAACGATAGAGAACTTTTTCCTTGTCAAATAAAGACTCTCAAGATGAAATATATTTTTCAATATCATAAAAACTTGGGAAATATGCGTATAGTAGATATATATATCATTTAAAATAATCCTATTTCCAAATCCCCATTTTATTTTATTACCAACGATCCTGATAAAAAGCAACCGTCTCCGGTCTTCCACTGCGTGCCGTCAATAAGTGAAATTTAATGCAAAAGGATAAATAACCATAATCCAAGAATGCGTTTAAAAGCAACGTTTTCGGAGAGTGTGCAGTAAAGATACGGAAAATATTAAATATCTAATTTTCTACAACGACTACTACCGCTGCACATGTATATGGAAAACAACTAACCTTTGCATGGGCAAAATCCCTTACACACTACTTTGATAGCAGTCTGGTGGATGCAATTGTGATACTCCAGACGACACAACGAACTGTACGTTCTGTTATCAACTCCACACAGGAAGGTTGGCTTAACTACAGGACAAGGTTTACACCTAAAAATAAAAGAAGAATTGATAAAGAAACGTGCACATCATAGAATGCAATCTTTACAACACAAACTCCATTATAAACTCTATTATAAAACTCCAGGGACCGAAAAAGTATTTTGTTTAGTTATAAAGAGTCCTTGTTGTAACGTGTAGGGATACAATCCCAACAGAATTATTATTTTACTATTTATTTACATTTGATTTCGCCAATCATACTCAGTGACGTGACCTATTTAGAAGTTTAATCGTAAATCATTGCTTAGCATTTAAAATGACACCAGTTCGATTCTGGAGTCGTCTGACCTTCATTCTCCCGCCCTACTCTTCGGCTTTGCACCACAGTGGATTAGCTAATATAAGATGAAGCACTTAAACATTCTCTTTCGACAGCCAGAAGTCAATAAATTGTAACGATTTCTCACAATACATTGATAAAAACAGCTCCTAATTTTCGAATTTTTAAAATTTTTAATGGTATAGGCAGTTTAGAACGACATGACCTTCAAATGCGCGAAATACGAGCCTTATTGCTTTATATTGTACATTTGGAAAGCATTGACCAGGTATGGAGAGCTCCAGATAAACAGGCGGAGTTTTGTCGAAGGTCAATGTATATTATGTCACTCAAAATTAGCTCTACTGGTCCTGTATGAGTACGCTAACCCTGTTTTGTGAGTAACCGATACAATGTTGTTTATTTATGGATTTTATGTTTGTAATTTTATGTAATTCTTGTTATTATCGCTTCACATTGGACGTGATTTTGACGCTTAATTTGACGTACATCTCGAATGGTTTGTGTAGACTGACGTAAAATCTAACTTTTTCAGATTCTTCCCTTTCAAATCATAAAGTCGAGCTAATAGAGTTTCTTAATGCTGAGCCACGAAAGTTGAGGGTCATTTTTACGAAAGGGAAACGAAACGAATTACTTCATCCCCTTCCCATGATCTTTCACTTATCAAGAATCTCAGCAAACAGCCGCGCTTACGTCTAATGTCTGAAAGGTTCGGTTATAAAAACACCAATTTGAGAAAAATCTGCGGATTCCTGAGTTGAAAGACAAACGATCGACCCCGTTTTCAGCGCATTGTACCAATTCTTTTTCTTTCTATGTCTGATTCCAAATACTCTCGAACATTCTACCGCTTTTCGGATTATCGATTTCAATTTTGTTACTTTTCTAGAATAATAGCACCATATTCGGAGATTTACGAGGAAAGTTGGGCGTAAACTACCAATTGTCCGAATTCAACTGCGTAATTCCGATCGAAAGATTGTCAGAGATGTACCGTACTGCAGGCATGCATTTAAATTTAAATTAGTTCTGCGAAATATCATCTATTCAAGGGATCATACGAATCGCCCGTTGTCCAGTAACGAAACTCGTTAAAAATTTAATTGGCTCGTAACACGATTTAAAGAGATACTTAATATTCATTTCTCTAAAATAATATTAACTATTACATAACATCTCATCTCAACCCAAACATTGGAGAATATAATCCTTGGAAGTTATAAACTGATGTATGTTCATAAAGTACATTCAGTTTTTGGTCAGTCAATGAATCAAGATCCTCGTCGTACATTGAAGTAGGGTCACGAACTAAACCAAAAAAAACTTTTGGGTGTTTCATTTCCACCAGCCAGTAATGCTGGTGGGCAGCAGGTAGTCCCTCCGGACTGCGCCGGAAGGTAGGGCGGAAGGCCCTCTTCAGCCTCCTTTCAGGAATCGTGGGAATGGGTGGGTGGTAGTTCTGGTGAGTAAAATTAGACGGATGAAATAAAGACAGAAGAGAATGAAAGATTATCTGTGGAATATTACTGCCTAAGCATTTGCCTATGTGATCCAAGGAAACCACAGAAAATCTTGGACCAAGGCAGACGGACCCGGAATCGAACCGGCGTCCTCCCGAATGCTAAGCAATGGTCTAGACCTCTAGGCCATGCCGCTCGGTCACTATCTGCGGCGCGTTCATAAGATCCAAAAAGATCGAAATCGGGATCCGCGTCTGGCAGTTTCGACAGAATAAAGTCCACTTCGAATTATTTTATTACTTGTATTGACTTTGAATTTCCACGAGGCCATGCTGCTCGGTCGAACTAAACCATCATTTTCAAACATTATGGCATGACAAAACTGTGGCAAAGTACCGCCATCTATTGGCAAACATAAGACTTGACGGTATACTCCCACACTTTACGTTTTTAAAGTAAATAACATAATAAATAATTATGTATATCATTTACAAAGTAAAAGGTTTGCTTATTTTGTTAAAAGTTTAATAATTTATGTATGTATTTATTAACATATTTAGTAACATATTTCAGAGATCCCAGTCTTTCTACGAGAGATTCGAGTTTCTCAATTTTTCAGTTTTATTCATTCAGTCTCTCTGTGAAAGACTCGAACGTCTGAATTAACAATTTTATTATTCGAGTCTCTCATACAGAAACTGTGAGAGATCCATAAAAACACCTAGGTAATAACTGAGAGACTGTGAAGAGACGCTGAAAGACTCTGAGAGACTGAAAATTTTTGTCTAGGGTACCTGCCAATAACATCGAGATCGCAATCTAGAGGTTTCAATAAATTTCTGACCAACTTAATATCCTTTGTATTGTAAATTATCACGAAACTTTAAGAATTAGCAGTGATTAGAAGTTTGGATGTGATACCAACTAACCAGTTTTTCATCATTAATTCAATAAAACAAAAAAGCATATTTGTAGGAGTACATTTCCTGAATCTGTTGAGTCAAAATTATGTAGTATAGATACTACTTAAACCATGTTGAACGATAACTTAGTTAATTTTCCGGTCTCTGGGAAAAATGGATTACGACGGTAGAATAAATTGCTTTCGTAGAAAAATTGCTACATTCTATAACAAAAGAGGAACGGAAAGTTCTGGTAACTCATGCCATAAATTTCGGGACAAGTTTCGAAAGAGATGTGAACCGTGACAGTATTCTAATCGATATTCTGCTTATCGGATCCAAAACAGCTTAACATGTAAGGATTAAATTTTCCACAAACTAAAAGGGTTCTACACTCCAGTGATACCACATAAAGGGAATCCTGCATCTTCTCAAATCAGCATCTGATAAAATATGACCCTACTATATTATTCGCAAAAGCATTTCATAAACTGCTAAAATACATGGGCAGATTATTAACAATTTTGCCACCAAACTCCAATTTTTGGTGGGAACTTGTAGTGATGTCCTATTAATGAAATACATAATGAAAATTATACGTATATTACACTAACTAGTAAAAAATATATAAAAGTAAAAATAGATAAAAGTAAAACAAAAATACTGGTATGCAAGGGAAGAAAAAGTAGGGAAAGAGCGAATGCAAAGATAGGAGACGAAATATTAAAAGAAGTGGCTGATTTTAGGTATCCAGGAAGTCAGAAAAGTCAGGACGGAAGGAGTAGTAGGGACTTAAAGCAGAGGATAGCGCAGGGTCGAGTCGCCTTCAATAAAAATAAGTCACTTCTGTGCTCGCGAACGGTTAATTTAGAAATTCAAAAAAGATTATTAAGGGTGTATGTTTGGAGCGCGAAGATGCACGGGTGCTAAACATGGACGGTGGACGCGGCGGAAAGGAAAAGGTTAGAAGCGTTCGAAATGTGGTGTTACAGGCGAATGATGAAGATACCGTGGATAGAGAAGAGTAAAAATGAAGAGGTATTAGAAAGAATAGGAGAACAAAGGACTCTATGGAAGACAATAAGAAATAGGTGAGATAGGTTGGTAGGACACCTTCTCAGGCATAAAGGTCTAGTCAAAGACATATTGAAGGCAGAAACAGGTGTTAGGAGAGGTAGAGGTAAACCTAGATTAGATTACTGTTTGCAAATAGTTAAAGATGTGGGATTTTCTAGTTTTAGGCAAATGCGAAGATTAGCTCAGGATAAGAAAGAGTGGAGGTGCGTGTCCAACCAGTCTCAGGACTGACGACCTTATGATAATAATGACACTAACTAGTATTCCTGACTAAACAGTCTGTTCAATAAATATGACAAGTTAAACAAAAAAAAAATGAATGCAAGGGAAGGAAAAGTAGAGAAAAGTAAATATAAAGATAGGAGACGAAAAATTAGAAGTCGGTTATTTTCGGTATCTAGAAAGTCAAATAACTCAGGATGAAAGGAGGAGTAAATATATAAAACGCAGACCGTGGGCCCGACAGAAAAGAAGAGGTCAGAAGTGATCAAAATGTGGTGTTACATGCGAATGATGAGGATACCGTGGATAGAAAAGATTAGAAATGAGGAGGTATTAGAATGAGTAGGAAAACAAAAGGCTCTATGACGAAGGTCAATGAGAAATAGGCCAGATAGATTGGTAGCAGACCTTCTCAGGCATGAAGGGCTGGTTGGACACATACTAAAAGCAGAAACATGTGAAGAGACTTAGATTACATTAGTGTTTACAAATAGTTAATCATGCAGGATGTTCTAGTTTTTGGAATAGGAAAGGGGATAGCAAATAATGGGTGAAGGTGTGTATCCAACCAATTTTAGGAGTGGCGACCTTATGATGACGATGATAAAGCTTTTAGGATTGGTTAGAGTGATGTGTGGCTTGTAAGGAAGGCTCACTGAAGGGTCAGTAATGACTAACTAGACTGTTAGAAAAAACGCACTGTTCAAGGACCATCTTCACACTTGTCAGTTGAACATCAAATTCTTAATGAAATTCGGGAGAAACTTAATAAAATGTAGAGGACTGTTTATGGATATAACCAACTAATGAAGGCAATCTTTTTCAAATGAATTTAAATAGTATTTCCGAGAAGGCCTTAAAGATCCAGGAAAAAAGTCGCTTCGATTATATATATATTATATATAGTTTGTTAAAAAGGTGAATTGTTGCTGATTGCAGTTTAACAAGTTTTTGGCTAGTTATACCATATGTACATACTAACATGAGTTGAAGGATTAATTTATGTGTATTTCTTGAAAATAAGGATCAGAAAGCTAAAAAGTTTGAAACATTCAATTATTAATCGTTTTGGTATAATTTTTGGTTGAATGAGCATTTTACTATTCGTTATAATGATCTACTTTTGGCCTTATATTAAATTCTGTTGACTAATTTTTACACTACGTACAAACACAAGATTTTACTGCCCTCTTCTCGATTTCATCATCTTATTTTATACAAAGCTAACCAACCAAATTCACGTGACCTTCATTAAAAAGCCCGTCCCTGTCCAATGTTTGTAGCGAAATAATTACTATTTTAATGGATTTCTTGCACGTGTAATGAAATCTCAGCGTTGCAACATGACCGACCGAATGAATTTTCAATCCCTTGAGATCCATTTGTCGAATTATTAATTATGAACAAGGGCGCATTTGTACAGCCTTATCTCGTACAATAGTCGCTGAAGTAATAATAATATTACCTTACTCTAGCTATAAACGAAATTTATTGTTCAGTGTCTACGTCGACGATCAATATTTTATGTAACTTACGGGGGCGGTTTTATTATTAGAGGGAAAACGTTCTGTGCACTATCAAAAAGGAAAACTACCACTTCAACATTAAATCAGCCTTCTCACAGCCATACAGAATAAAATTACCTCAGGATACAGAATAATATAATATACCAGGGCGGTTCAATAAGTACTCGTGTTTGAAGACAGAGGACGTTCCTGAGGGAAATTGGTATTGTCATCGTGTGCTGGCATCTATCAAACTACGTCCAAACGAATTTCAGACTGATTGATAGGTTAGTTTGGATTTGGTAGCCATTCCACTCAGACGTGCTTCGTTATTTTCGATAAGATGGAAAAAGAGCAGTATCGTTCGGTAACTCGCTTTTTGTTTTTGAATGGGAAAAAATGCGAGGAGATGAAAACAAAGTTAGATACTGTTTATGGAGACATTTCGCCATCTACGACCACAGTTAGATATTGCTTCAACGAATTTAAACGTGGGCAAAGATCCGTTTTTGATAGGAGCGACCAGGAAGCCTGGCAAACGTTGTTACCGAGGAAATCATTTTACGGATATTTTAGGAAAAGGAAGAACTATCACTGGACAATACTACAGTGAATTATTGGACCGCTTCGACAAAAAATTGAAGGAGACACGGACGCATTTGATGAAAAAGAAGGTGCGTTTTCAACACGATAACGCACCGGCACATTCATCAGGAGTTGTTGCCGCCAAAATGCATGAATTACGTTATGAATTTTCTGCCGCACATCCCGTACTCACTCGATTTGACTCCCTGCGACTTCATTTTGTTCCCTACCATGAAGAAATGACTAGCGAGAAAGAAATTTAGCTCAAACGAGGAAGTCATCGCCGAGACAGGGGGGATTTTGGGGAGTTCGACAAATCTTATTTTTTGGAGAGGTAAAAAAATGGCAGGGTCGTTGGGAGAAGTGTATCTTTCTAAAAGGGAACTATGTTGAAAAATAAAAAAACAAATTTTAAAAAATAAGGTGTCTTCATGTCTAACACGGGTAATTATTGACCCGCCCTCGTATACAAAGGTCTGCGAAGGGAGTTGTTTCATAGACAATTTAGAAATTTTTGCTAACAATGAGGAAAAAATTTAGTAACAGACATCCATTAACGTGCGGATAACATTAATCATGGAATAAGAGGTGGATACGAAACATGAATTTAAATGAAGCAAAAACAAAAATTATCATATCTACATCATAAAGAAAATACAGACAAATGTGTGGGTACTAGGAGGTATTAGAAAAAGTAGATGAAACAAATGGCTTTTGCGAAAAAGCCTTAGTTAAGGTGGTAATTTACCGAAACTGCCTTTGGCGTGCTGATAAGAACTAGGAAGTTCTTAATCACAACTCACTTCAGGTAGTTCTGATAAACCGGCTAAAAGCTGATTGCTCTTTACGACAAGCTGTTTCATATGACGAGGGCGTGTTTGGTAGCCCTTGATGTTTCTTTATTTTCTGTTTCTACCTAATATTATTTCTCAGAAAATCTTATACATAAATATTTAATCAACATCATTAAAGGCAGTACAACTATATGGATAGATATAGAGGGGCAAAAGATTTGTATGCTTAGATTTGCAGATAATATAGCAGTATTAGCATCTAGCAAGAAGGAGTTAGAGATAGCTTTAAATAAAATGGAAACGATTTTGACAAAGCAGAATTGTTTGAAAATAAATAAAAGTACTGGTATGCAAGGAAACATGGAAAAGAAAATGTTAGAAACGTTCGAAATGTGGTGTTGCAGGCGAATGATAAGGGTACAGTGGATAGAGAAGGTTAGAAATGAAGAGATTTTAGAAAGAATATGAGAACAGAGGACTCTATGGAAGTCAATAAGAAATAGTCGAGATAGGTTGGCATAACACCTTCTCAGGCATGAAGGTCTAGTCAGAGACATATTAGAAGCAGAAACAAGAGTTAAAGAAGTAGATGTAGACCTAGATTGGATTACTATTCGCAAATAGTTAAGGATGTGGGATGTTCTAGTTTTAGGGAAATGCGAAGATTAACTCAGGATAGGAAAGAGTAGAGGTGCGTGTCCAACCAGTCCTAATACTGACGACCTTATGATGATGTTGACAGAGTATTTGTATAATATGTTTTGCGAATTCAAAGAAATTCGAAACATTGTTTCCAACATATAAATCCACCTCAAAGTTTTACGCCACTTCCTGTTATGAATAACAGGGCAACTGCCTACACATTTACACGTGTTTTGAACACATCCAAGAAGCTACACTAATAATTGTTGTTGGTCTTGTTGTTGTAGTTAGTTGTCAGAATGTACTTCAGCGTTCGTATATGTATATTCTGAAGTGGAAGGTAAACAACTTATTGCACATATTGCAGTGGAACAAGTGCACCAAGCAATCGTTAAGCAGACAAGGTGTGGAGTTATGAAAGCATCATTAAAAATAGAATAACGCTATATTCCCTACAACTATTTATTTACTGTCTTGTTTGTGAATTATTTAGAATTCCAATGAGAAGATTCAATCTGCAGCAAGGAAATTACTGTTTATATGTGCTCTTTCAATAATGAGCACACACCTACGCTGTATACGGGCATGTTTACGTTTAATTTCCAAAGCAAAGGGCATTTCGAACGATTATCTATGGGATATTGTACTCCTCCGTATTTGTCTAAGTAATCCAAGGAAACCACAGAAAACTGGAACCAGGGCAAATGGACCTGGAATCGAACTGGTGTCCTAGCAATGGTCTAAACCTCTAGGACATGCTGCTCGGTTTGGTTCATCTCTAGGTAATTTTTTCTGCTTCTAATGTATTTTAAACTACCCCTTCATCTCTAATACAGTGTCCATCAACCTATCTCGCCTATTTCTTATTGACCTACACTAAGCTCTCCGAAGATTAATTACAAAAGGATTTGTGAATCATTAAGTTTGATCGAAATTAGGTCATGCTTACTCATTTGTTCAATAATTCAATCCTTTTCAAACAAAAATACTGAATTAATGTATCCATAACTTCATTCAAAGAATATTAAGTACCTCCTTCGTATTCAATCTTCAAAATTTCGACTGCACGAATGCACGTTTATGTCTTACTTACGTTGAAGCGTCGTTACTGTCTTCATCTGAATCGTCATCGGGATCGTCTTCAGTGTCATAAAATATATCGTCGTCGAAATCATCATCTCTCGAGCCCTGATGACGCTTGTTAACTTCATCTGTAAATGCACTTGACTTCGGAATAATAATATCCCTGCAAAAGAAAGTTAAAGTTAGAAAAATACCTCAACATAGATTAAATTTTTAAATATCCAATGGGACGATTATCTTTAAACGCATGAAACGTCCAATGAAAATAATATTTCTATCTATCGGTTGGAATATTAGGCAATCCAATATTAATTTATATTTACTTTTTTGTTAACGTATTGATTGGTATTTCAAATTTGAACAAAGCATTATCAAGGGTAATAAAAAAGAAGACAAAAACTTTGAAAGCAAATTTATCAAAACTGTCTGATACACCTAATGGATTTGAGATGATATCCAACATTGCCTGTAGGTTAAAACGATTAGAGTATTTTCAATCTAAAAGACTGATACGTTAAAGCGGAGGGCATGCCCTCAAAATCGGAAAGTATAAACTGAGATATAGAAGTAAAGTAGATATTGTGGAATTTCTGATAAGAACATGCCATGCAAAACACGTCATTATTTGTCTTAAATTCACGAGAATAAGCGTCTGCCATTAAAAGTGTGTAGCATGGATTTAAGTTAAAATTTCACTAAAAATCATGGGAATTACCTAATAGATGATAATGAAATTAGTAAAGTACTAACCCTAAAACTAGTGACAATCCTATTGAAGGAAAGACAAGACACCCTGAAGCACTTTCTGATTTAATTCTATAAAACGTTGCTCATCTTTTGATATAAGACCAAAACAGCTCCCAAATTCAATAAATGAGACATAGACATAAATGGCGCTGTCTGACTTCATTTCGGTACAAGAACTACCGGAACCTACTACTATTGACACCTGTGGAAATCGCACCTATTACGGTATTGAAGAAATAGCTGATGGAGCCGAAATGTCACTAGAAGAGCCCATAAGCAATGATGTAAATGAGATATAGGCATAAATGGTGGTGTCCGACGTCTTCTCGATGAAAGGACTACTAGAACCTACTACCATAGACACCTGTGGAGCTGGTACCTATTTTGGTAATGAAGAAATAGCTGGTGGAACAGAAATGCCAGTAGAGGAGCCGATAAACGATGATATAATTGAGATATAAGCAAAAATGGCACTGTCCGATCTCTTCTGGATGCAAGAACTACTAGAACCTTCTACACAGATACCTGTGAAGATCGCACCTATTACGGTGTTGAAGAAGCAGCTGACGGAGCAGACATGCCACTAGAGGAACCTATAAGTGATGATATCAATAAACTATAGGCATAAAAGGCGCTGTCCAACGTCTTCTCGATGAAAGAACTACTAGAACCTACTACTTATAGACACCTGTGGAGATGGTACCTATTACGGTATTGAAGAAATAGCTGACGGAGCCGAAATATCACTAGAAGAACCCATAAGCGATGATATAAATGAGATATAGGCACAAACGACGCTGTCCGACGTCTTCTAGATGCAAGAACTACTAGAACCTACTGCTACAGACACCTTTGGAAATGATATCTATGTATTATGGTATTGAAGAGATAGCTAGTGGAAAAGACATGCCAGCAGAGAAGCCCATTGGGGTTGAAGATGGCAATGTTGAGGTTGAAATATATTAAACATTAGCTACTATGTGGCATTCATATCAATAATACTGCATTCCTTTGATTTGAGACAAAAAAAATTCCATACACTGCCTTGTCGTTAAAATCACTTTCTTCTATTATTTATATCGTAAAACAGTGAAATAATTGGCATAAAAGAATCGGAAAGTGTCACTAATTTTTAATCCAACTCGACAAGATTCGGTCGATATAATTTGTAAAGGGCCATCCATTTACAAATTGTATCCATTTACAAGAGTACATACAAAAGTTTACTACAATATAAAGAACTACCAGTTACTGTTTAATCAGAAAAAACGTGTCCCTCGAATAATAGAACAGTAACTGTACGGCAAACTTTTTACATCTCCCGTGATACTGATTAGTACTTTGAGCAAACTAGGAGTTCGAAATCTAAACGAGTTTGCGAACATTTTTGCGCGGTACAAAACAGGAAAAATGAGTAAACATCAAATGAAGGCAACTGAAAGTTACCATACATACCCAAATTATCAACGTCCTTCTTAATAATTATAACAATTTTTTTTATCTTTTTCATCTTAAACACCATTGAAGATACAATTATGATGATTTGTTAAGATCTCCTCATCATCATCATCATAAGGTCGTCAATTCGTCAGACTGATTGAACATGCACTTCCACTTTTTTCTATCTCCGCATTTCCCTAAAAGTAGAACATCCCACACCCTTAACTATTTACGAACAGTAATCTAATCTAGGTCTACCTATATCCGTCCCAACTCCCGTTTCTGCCTCTAAGAAGTTTCTAATAAGACCTTCATGCCTGAAAAGGTGTCCTACTAACCAATCTCGTCTATTTCTTATTGACTTCCATAGAGTCCTCTGTTCTCTTACTCTTTCTAATACCTCATCATTTCTAACCTTCTCTACCCACGCCTTTAACAATCTTTTTCGAATTTCTAAATTAGCCGTTTGCAAGCATAGAAGTGACTTCTTTTTATTGAAGGCGACTCGACCCTGCGCTATCCTCTGCTTTAAATCCCTACTACTCCTTCCGTCCTGACTTATCTGACTTCCTAGATACTTAAAATCAGCCACTTCTTCAAATTTTTCGTCTCCAGTCTTTATATTCGCTCTTTCCCTACTTTTTTCCCTTGCAGACCAGATTGAGCTCACTTGAAATTAAATCTTAGAATTCATTTCGGGCGTTAGTGAAGGCTACAATTGACCAGTTATTCCGTTGATCGCCTACATTGCGGCCTTTGACCTACATAGCCTTATAAGCGACCACATCGGCTGAAACTGTCATGCTGAATTGTTAGTTTTCGATAATTTTATTTTCTCCAAACTATCAAGCAGTTCATAGGTATGTGTAATGGCTGTTCAATTTTACTTCAATCAATTATTACGAAACACTGCATTGAATTCGTTTTTTCGATATTCAATTACGTAAAAAGGAAAAAAGCAGAGACTAAGCTAATCTTTATCTCCGAAACCAGTCAAGATTTATGACGAGGAGAATAATAATTTATAGTGACAGGAAACAATCTAGAAAGTTTTTATCGTCAACTCCATCACGTCTCTAAACCGTACGTCCCATCATTCACTTCAATATTAATGGATATGGTAGCTTTTAACTTTTATGTTCCTAGAACAGGAGCTATTCAAAATGGCTTAACATTTTGTCATAAAAATTTAGTATTGTCTATTACTGTGGATAAGGTTTATTAGTAGGTACCTAAAACAAATAAATGCGACAAATTGGTTTCCATAAAAGGAATCTCACTGCCTTTCACAGATTACTTTTTAATAATTGTCACAATAGAAAATAATTTATGAAAAGTCATTTCAGTTAGTGCTTCTACGTGCACAATAATTAATACAAAATCGCCCACGTTGAAGCAAGCTTTTATAAATTTTCATTTACTGACTTCCAAAATATCGAACTAAATGCCAATTAAGAAAAAGAACGGAAACCTAATAAATTAACGCCATAACCGATTAGTGCAGCAAATTTTCCTTTTATATTTTAATAGCGATCTGACCTTCAGCTTAACCGGTGCAAAGTAGAAAAGAACAGCACTAGGCCAGAAAAGAAAGGAGACAACTCTCGGCCAAACTCTCAACCGGGAGGAGCGTATAATCCGTACAGTACTGCACAGAAAAATTGACCATTTTATCCACTACAATTGCATTGCTCAAATGTGCTGTTATTGGTACCATTTACCACTGAAAATATCAACGAGATGTTTATTTATATTTGAAGACATATTAAAGACTTTAACGCTTGTTTTCGACTAGCACTACTATTCATGATTGAACAAAACTTTTGGCAGGTACTGTATGAAAAAACATGTTTAATGAACAAGAGTCGAGAGTAAAATGAGTTTTTTCTCCCTACCTACGATTTTGCAAGCGCGCATCCAAGACATTGGAAGGGGCACATCGCTAGAGAAAGTAAATAAAGTTTAATTATCCAACAGAACTGAAAACAAATCTGTACACACTGTACCCAGCGCCTTGTCCTCCTCAAAACACGTTATATGTAAATAAATAATTCTTCATAACTGTTGGCATTCTTATATTGTAGTAAACCATAAGTTACAACGTGGAAATTCAAAGTCAATACAAGTAATAAAATAATTCGAAGTGAACTGTATTCTGTCGAAACTGCCAGACGCGGATCCCGATTTCGATCTTTTTGGATCTTATGAACGCGCCGCAGATAGTGACCGAGCGGCATGACCTAGAGGTCTAGACCATTGCTTAGCATTCGGGATGACGCCGGTTCGATTCCGGGTCCGTCTGCCTCGGTCCAAGATTTTCTGTGGTTTCCTTGGATCACCCAGGCAAATGCTGAGGCAGTAATATTCCACAGATAATCTTTCATTCTCTTCTGTCTTCATTTCGTCCTTCTCAACTTTTTCACCCGAACCACCACCCACGCATTCCCACGATTCCTGAAAGAAGGCTGAAGAGGGCCTTCCGCCCTACCTTCCGGCGCAGTCCGGACGGACTGCCCGTCCACCAGCATTACTGTCTGGTGGGAATGAAACACCCAAAAGTTTTTTTAAAGTTTTTGCCGCAGATAGCTCCGACAGCAAGTAGATATATTTAAATGGATCTTATTGGAGCATAAGTAACCCTAAAATGTAGTATCGTACTACAGATGGCGTTTACCGCGCCATTTGTAGTATTTTCTAAAACGAGTTGTTAAGGCAACAGGTAAAAATTGGTCTGTATTCTGTCGGAGCCGCCTGCGCCGCGCTGATGAGATCCAAAAAGATCGAAATCGCAATCTGCGTCTGGCAGTTTCGACAAAATACAGTCCACTTCGAATTATTTTATTCGAATATGGTAACGTGCTTATCACGTTGAGGTAAGCTACGCCGGATTCGTTTCAGCAAGTAGATATCCATATATTTAAATGGTCCTTCTTGGAGCATACGTAATCCTAAAATGTAGCATCGTACTATAGATGG